AGAGTGTAGGGAGAGTCAGTTTATACAGGATATTCGCTTCCCATTCTCAGATTAATTTTTGACTGTGATAACATATTTACCTCCTGTATTAATAAGTAGATGCTGTCCAAGTCATGTGATCTCCAGATGTGGTTTACTTCTGGTACGGTGATGACGTTAGGGACGGTCAACTGACGCGTGTGGAATCATTTCGGCATTTTCACTGATGGTTTCAGTCCGGTTGACGTGTGTATCGGACCTCTACGCCACAGGAATAGCCCATTAGGCACCCATTACACACATCTAAAGATCATTTTCTTCCATTGTATTATTGACTCACAAGGCCTGCATGTCTAGAGTATATGTTGCTGTTATTAGCTCTCTTTGTTGTCTCCTGCGGAGGAAACTACCATTGTGGTCTGTCTGACTACGTGTCAAGTTGTACGTTTCAGTATCAGTTTGAAAGATCCATCTGGAGGTGCTGGGGAGTTAGTGTGGGACAGGGGTATAGCCTAGTCTTTACCCCCCGCCCTAAAGTCATTACTTTAAAGATGCACTTGTATGCTGAAAACTCCCTCCTCCCCTAAACATCACTCTTCTCTTCCACTCTCGTGTCTGACTTATTCTCTCTCTGTCTCTCTCGTGCATGGCTGTCTGTCTGACATCTTGACTTCAGTGAGTGGACTGACTGCTAATGGTTGGCATTTCCCATCACAGAGGACGTGTACTGGGTTGAAAACATCAGTCTGTCGGTTGTCTTCTCTCACCAGAGCATTTCTAACTGGAGTGGTCGCAGCTCTCTTCCTGTCATCATGTGGGACTCTAATGGTCTGGCAGTACCTCAAAGGTTCTGAAGCCTCCCCTCAGGCTGTCTGAATGGAAATCTCCTGTGCCTGAGGGTTACTGAAGGAGACAGAAGTTCTTGACCCACTTTGGAGAACCATTGTCGACAACAAGCTAAGTCCCACAACTGACAGGTGAGGACTTGTAAAACAGTGGTCAGGACTCAGAAGTGATAAAAAGTGTAGCTGAAAGAATGATAAAGCTTTTGTCAACATTTTACTCTCTGATGGAGTTAATACATTCACTAAAAGTTAGTACACAGTATCACTGTATGTTTTAGAAAATAAGACACAAAAATATTCTCTCAAATTGATCGGAGAGTCCTTTAGGTCTCAGTTCAATCTCCTCACAGATGTAGGTGTGCGCTTCTTAAATATTCTACCGAAACATTGCGCTGAAAAGTTTAATTTTAATTCCGTCCTAAAATAACTCCCCCTCCCCCCAACACACCCTTTTCCCTGTTGTTCTAGCCCCAGGATGACGGTGGTAAAAGGAAGGATGACTAGACGGTAGCAGTGTGAGTCAGTCTTCCTAAATGATTAGACTAAAGAGGTCTGAGCCATTGACTGGTTAAATGTTCGAAAACATGCAAATTGCTCCCACAGGTGCTTAAAGGGCAAAACAGAGGGTTGATTCTGAGAACTGTGGAAATGTGGAGGACAGTCTGCTGATTGAGAAAGAAGTGGACCTTTTCAAGGATATAAATGAGTTATGCTTTGAGACCGTTGGGACACGACACTGACCTGGGAGATCTTACTTCCAGCTGTCACTGGACGTCTGAGAGTTCAAGCCTGTGTGTTTGGTTAAGAGAACATTAACATACTGCTAGACGGATGTAATTAAGTGAAATCCACATTAGAAGCGGTCTTTAGAGGGCTAGTAAGGATGGCTTCAGTGGGTAGATATTACATATAGTATCTGTCAAATGTACTCTTCTAGGTGCTAAGCAAGGTTCATTTGACATGAATAAGAGAATACAAACAATACAAGGAGTAAAGTACACCCACAATCTCAGGGAGTTAACCAAGATGGTGTATAAATCTGGCATACAGCAGACAGAGAATCTTGTGGGAGAGAACGCAAGGCAGGTAGCATGTAGAGTTACAGACTGCTTATGAAGGGTAGCCTGCTACACTAACATTCATGAAGCTTTATTTATGAGACAGGACAGATAGCTTAAAAAAGTGCATTCTTCAGGTCAAACACGAGACATAACCAAAGCTTGCCTGAGAAAGTAGACCTCCAGTGTTCTCCAGTAATGCACTGGAATGTACATGTTTGGACAGGCATTCCGCAAGTATCATTTAAATATAAACACAGTTGGGGTTTTTTTAAGAAAGAGGAAATGGAACTGTGTTCGAGCGAAGGGTAACCACAACAGTACAGTAATCAAGAACACATGCACAGTGGTCACAGAGTTACAGTATCATGTACTATGTTGTGTCGTGTCAGAACATGGACAAGGTTCGTATCAACAGGATGCATTATGAATTTAGTCAACGGAACATTAGCGATCCTTGTTACTAAGAGGGGAATACCACGGTTACAAATACACACCAACACACCCATACTTACACGTGTACACGTTCCAAAAGGGTTCTTCGGCTGTCCCCATAGGAGAACCATTTTTGGTTCCAGGTAGAACCCTTTTGGGATCCATGTAGAACCATCTGTGGAACGGGTTCTACATGGACCCCTATAGGTGGTTCTAGCTGGAACTTAAAGTGTTCTACCTTGAACCAAAAAGTGTTCTAGATAGCAAAACAAATTCTAAGCGCGTAGGATAGTGTAAACTTGTAGTGTATTTGAGGTTTAAGAAGGCTTCTGACACTTGAAACCCTACCTCTTTAAGGAATACCTGGAATAGTATAAAAGTAATCCTTCAACCCCACCCTCCCCCAACCCCCCATTTAAAAAAAAGTGGTTGTCCCACTGGCTATCCTAAGGTGAATGCACCAATTTGTAAGTCGCTCTGGATAAGAGCGTCTATTAAATGACGTAAATGTAAATGTTTGGAATTTCTCTCAAGAAAAATGTATAAACCCCTACAAAATTTTCCATTAATTATAATCCACATTATAAATCACATTTTCTGTTGCTGCAGGATTATTTCCCTGCTTTACCAAACTGGATCAAATCATAACATCTGTACATTGCCTGGCACCCGCTCGCACAACACACACACACACACACACTCTGCTCTACTTCCAAATGGCATCTCAATTCGTGAGACTGGATGAGAAATCAAACTTCCTTCCTATCATTCACTTATTCCATTAAGGGCCTTCTGTTTCTGCACACTGACAACAACAAAGCCTGAGTAGGAGGTGGATGGAACATATCAACATCATCTTCTCAGCCCCATAAAGAAAAAAATAGAAATGATTTCATGTCTTATCTTTCATAACTCGTTCTTTCTCCAATTTGAGCTCGAACCAAACTAGTCCTCAATACCAATCAACACCTTTTAGTGCAATCAACAACAAAAAATAAGACTTTGTATTACTCCACCAGAGACCTGAAAAGGTAATTATGTGATTGTGCTACTAATAATCTAAAAACACATTTTGGTGTATGTGGTATTGAAAGGAACATAGATATCCATCACATTATTGCTACCATGTTTCCCAGAATCAAATTGGGATTTAGATTTTAATTATGATGTTTGTTTCTTGTGATAGTCAGACTTGCCTGTCTATTTCAGGAGAATGCTAGAACAGAAACTTAGATTTGATTATCAGCCCGAATGTCATCACCAATGATTGATAAAGTTACTGCCGCAGGACAGATTTCTTCCCTCTATGACCACAACACCCCTATGAACTCTATAGAATTACTGAATGTCCGTCCTTACACTACAGTAAAGTATTTAAATAAGCATTAAACCTACGAACTGTCCTGCTGTCAATGGATCTTATTGCCTCCAAATATCTAGTTAATCCAATCACAGGGTCTAGCTCTGGCACATCAAACGTCACAATGAAGTGCAAATGCTCTCCCACGAATCACAACCTCTGCTGTGGCAGATTGTCAGCCAGTTTGAAATCATGCAGAGCAATATCCATGGCAAATTTAGATGCAATTACCTGACAGCGGCATTAACATAAGGTAATATAAACCCGTTAGAAGGTGGGAGCCAATATTTCCATGACACATTTTTGTCAAATCATAAGGTCCTGAACCCCATGACAGTAACTGCTATCATGCACTGAGGGGGTCAGAAAATATAGAAGGTCACAAAGCCTGAAATTGGTGAAACTTTTCACACAAAGGGGTTAAAAGTGGGGAGATACTTTCACAGGCAATTTGGAGTTAGACAGTTGCACAGCAATAAAGCTCAAATCGATATCGGTGAGACTATTACTCAACCTCAGAGACCCACTCTTGAAGGGTAGACTTATATTTTTCATCCAGAGCCCATTATCAAGCTCAAATAGTATGTTACAGTTTTGACTGTGTTAGAGTGGATGGTCAAAGGGTTTTATCTTTTTGACACATAAATGATTTTGTTAACAAAATGGGGTTGGTGCAAAGTGTGATGAGCTGGATACTGGGATTTCTTTTCAGGATTGTGAGTAATTATTGTGAGTAAGAGGATGTCATCTTTTGAGGGATGAGTTCAACTGCGTTCAATTGATATGTGTTACGCAGTATTGTGGGTCTATTTATATGTGTCTCTATGATATACTTTTTGGCTCTATTGAATCTGTGAAACTGAAGCGTTACAGATTCTGCGATTGTAAATGTTAAGGTAATTTCCGAATAACCCGATATATGCAGCGTTTAGCTCCGCTAAAGCGGGAACATTGCCTTTAAATTTCAGTCACGCTGTAAACCTGAACTTCCGCGATGCAGATTGAATCGATCCCTATGTGAGTAACTTTCTGATAAATTAGACTACAGGAAGTTCAAGGAAAGAGAGACTTGGCTGTCTCATTTATGAGTCATGGCCTTGTAAAAGAGACTGTGTCTAAATACGACTTTCTTGGTTAAATAAAGGTTAAATTTTTTGCATAGATGACCTAAACTACATTTTGAACACAGATGATAATATAGCTTTTCTGATCAGGGTTCATACATCACGAGCGATTCATACTGTATTTTATTTTACACGAATTACATACAAAATATACTTGTCTGTCTTTTCAGGAACTACTCCAGTTTGGACCTGAACAAAGATGGAGAAACAAATGGATAAAACTAACTTGAACTTCACTTGCGTGACAATCTCTAAAAGCCCTTTCAGTGACTTCCTGATGGGCATCTACATCCTGGCTTTTATCCTGGGCTTGGCCTTTAACCTCTTGACCCTTGGCCCCATCGTCCAGCAGGTCCGCAGCCAGAACGTCCTTGGGGGTATTCCTGCTCAACCTGTCCCTGTCTGACCTACTCTATATCCTCACCATGCCTCTCTGGATAAACTACTACCACCGGGACCACCACTGGAGCCTGGGCAGCCTCTCCTGCAGCGTGGCCGGCTTCTTCTACTACTCCAACATGTACCTCAGCATCTACCTGCTGTGCTGCATCTCTGTGGACCGCTGCCTGGCCGTCACCTACCCCCTGAGGACCAAGGCCTTCCGCAGTGTGTGCTACGCCTGGGTGCTGTGTCTGGTCGTATGCGTGGCTGTCATGTCCGCACACGGCCTAGTGCTGTTCAAGGACAACCTGCAGGACGCCCACGATGACACGCAGGACCGTTGCTACGAGACCTACCCCATGCCGCAGCCCGTGGCCATGTTCAACCTGCTGCGGGTGGGCATCGGCTTCCTGCTGCCCCTGCTGGTGCTGGGGCTGTGTTACTGGAGGATCCTGGGCCAGGTGAAGCAGAGCGAGGGGCTGGCGGAGCAGGCTAAGAGGAAGGTACGGCTGCTCTCCTTCGGGGTGATCGGGATCTTCTCTGTGTGCTTCGCCCCCTACCACCTCCTCCTGCTGACCCGCTCTCTGGCCTACTACCACATGGACGAACAGAGGTACTGTGAGTTTGAGCAGAACATGCACTTCCCCTTCTCGTGCACGCTGGCCCTGTCCAGCTTGAACAGTGTGGTGGACCCAGTGCTGTATGTGCTGGTCAGTAACGGGGTGAGGGAGGACATGAGACTGTGCTGCCTTGGGAACAGACAGGGTCAAAGGGAGAGAGACATTCCCGTCACCACCGTAACGTGGAAGACATTAATACAAACCTGATCTGATTACATACTGTGTGTGCGAGTGTGTTTGTGTGCAGGGTTGGGTTGGTTACTTTCTAAATGTAATCCATTACAGTTACTAGTTACCTGTCCAAAATAATATTCAGTAATGCAACTTTTGGATTACCCAAACTCACGTTTAGTTACTTTTGGATTACCTTCCCATTAAGAGGAATTACAAGAAGACAAAAAGGATCCATCAAACGCATTTGGTGTGTTGTCATAGTGGTCCCTGACTTGCGCATGTGGAACAAACTGATGCTTTTTCAATTCTGATTGAATATCATTGAGAAAACAGAAAGGTGTCAAGTATGTTTTTTTGCAAATAATCTAAGAAGTAATCATGTCCTTCAGAGTTATCTTTGGTCTCTTTGTTGCCACTCTGATTATTGCCCTCCTTGCCTGGTCCGTGAGTTTTGGTGGGCGGCCCTCTCTTGGCAGGTTTGTCGTGGTGCCATATTCTTTCAATTTTTTAATAATGGATTTAATGGTGGTCCGTGAGATGTTCAAAGTTTCTGATATATTTTTATAACCCAACCCTGATCATTACTTCTCCACAACTTTGTCGCTGACTTGTTTGAAGAGCTCCTTGGTCTTCATGGTGCCGCTTGCTTGGTGGTGTTGCAGACTCTGGGGCCTTTCAGAAAAGGTGTATATATACTGAGATCATGTGACAGATCATGTGACACTTAGATTGCACACATATATACATATCCTTTAAAAAAATGTATTTCCCTTTATTACTTTCCAACCCCACCACCCCTTCCCTAATTGGAGTAAACTAGTGAACAACAACGCTTCTACTTCCAGCTTATACGTACTATATACACCTTATGGACACAGTCAATTTTGCAATAATTCTACCTTGCTTGTTTTTTTCTCATATATTTTCAAAAACTGTTTGCTAGACGTAGGCAAGACCATAAGCAAATAGGTAAACTGGGATAATACTAAAGAGTTAATCAGGGTGATTTTTCCAGAAATAGACAGGTATTTACCTTTCCATGGTAGCAAAATCTTATCTATTTTTGCTAACTTTCTATTAAGATTTATTGGAGTGAGATCATTTATTTAATTTGGGATTTGTATTCTGAGTATATCCACATCACAATCAGACCATTTATTGGTAAACTACATGGTAATGTAAAAATTGTATTTTTAGTGATCCAATACGTAATATAGTACATTTATCATAGTTTGGTTGTAATCTAGAGCGGTTAGAAAATGTATCTAGATCCTCTATGAGGCTGTGGAGGGATTCAAGTTGTGGATTTAAAAGAATACATTAATCATCAGCGTACAATGACACCTTTGTTTTTAAGCCCTGGATTTCTAATCCCTTGATATTATTGTTGGATCTGATTTTAATAGCTAACATTTCGATGGCCATAATAAATAGATAGTGGACAACCTTGTTTACTCCTCTTGACAGTTTAAAACTTTCTGAGAAATAGCCATTATTTACTATTTTACACCTAGGGTTACTATACATGATTTTAACCCATTTTATAAGAGATTTTCCAAATAGCAGGCCTGGTTTCCCAGATTTTTCATAGTGTTCTATTGTTTCCAGTACTTGCCTTATATTATCTCCAATGTATTGTCCATGTAAAAAACCTGTCTGATTAGAATGAATAATGTCTGACAATACCTTTTTAATTCTATGCGCTACACATTTTTCTAGAATTTTTGCTGAAGTGTAAGGGGCCTCCAATTTTTTTTAATAGACTGGATCTTTATATTTCCCACTTGTATCCTGTTTCAGTAATAAATAAATCAGACCTTCTTCTTGAGTGTCTGATAATCTACCATTTACATAGGAGTGGTTAAAACATGCTAATAACGGTCCTCTGAGTATAACAATAAAGATTTGGTATACCTCGACTGGAATGTCAACCAACCCTGGAGTTTTCCCGGACTTAAAGTCTTTAATTGCATCCAGAAGTTCCTCCTCTGTAATTTCACCTTCACATGAGTCTTTCTGTATGGCTGTTAATTTTACATTATCAATAGAAAAAAAATCCCAACAATTAGCTTCAGTTAGAGGAGATGGAGGCAACTGAAACGAAAACATCACATTTTTCTAAAGTATCTGTAATCTGATTACAATATTCTTGCTGGTAATGTAACTGATTACAGTTACAGTTTTTTGTTATCAGATTACATGTAACTGTGAGCGTGTCTGTTGTATGCCCTTCATCTATTGCAGTAAATCCTTTCTGTGCACATTGTAAAAAGGACAGCATGTTTGTCTGTGTGACTTCAATAACATGTTCTTTCAGATCAACCCACTTCATGGACAATCAGTCAATCATGTTGTCTTTAAAATGTTCAAAGAAAAGGACTGCAGCCTTTGTGTAGTTTTTCTAATATCCTGCTTGGTGATGAGGATGGGTATTCATTTATATGCATCATGTTCTTAAATTGGAGGTTTCTGTTAATGCCTGTCCTCATTGTTATGGAAAATCCTTTCAAAGGCTGTCTGTTTTGGCTTTATGTTACAGGGTTGTTCCGCTTGAAGGGCCCTTGTATCTCTTCAGGTCTGCCATAGGTTTTATTGATATGTGCTTGGTTTACAAATGAACCTTTATATTCTAATTTGTCTGTTTGAGGACCAACATAAATAAGAACATTGTTCAATTTCATATTAATCCAAAACAAAATCTATGTAATAAACAGTGCTGGTGTTGAAATCACAGGAAATACAGTACTGGACATTGAAGACATGTTGTACAAATGTCCATCCAATAAACAAAAAAGGAAGCTACCCAAATTTGCATATTGTTTCTTACATTTACATGTACAATTCCATTAGGGGTTAAATCAGTTCCCCTCTCAGTCCCTCAAGGTAAAATATAAAAAAAGAGAACAAAAATACAGCACTGGAAAATAATGAACTTCCTCATCAACTGAGACACTTACAGTCAGTACAGCTTTTTAACTCATGCTCTGAACATGAGAGACCACTGTGGACCCCCACTTTAATGAAGGAGTGTGATGCGGCTGTGGGGATGGGACTTAGTCCCTCTGTCCCCGGGTTGAGGGTGGGGTGGGGTATTTGTGGGGCTCACGGTTCCCATCCTAGTGGTGGTCCCTATGGTCCTTATGGTCTGGATAAGAGCTCTCTGGTGCTGATGAGGAAAGCTGAACACAGGACTCTGGAGACGTCGTGGCTCACGGAGAGCACGGCTTCAATCAGCCTCACTGACAGCTAACATACTGCAAAATACAGCAAAATGAGCCGTAATTAAAACGGCCACACAGTCCATTACCTACAGACGGTAGCACAGACAGCCCCACACGCCATAATTAAAGGGACGACTTGAGAGGTGTTTGAATGTGAGGGACAAAGAGAGATAGGCTCTCGAGTGGCGCAGCGGTCTAAGGCACTGCATCTCAGTGCTTGAGGCGTCACTACAGACCCCCTGGTTCGATTCCAGGCTGTATCACAACCGGCCGTGATTGGGAGTCCCATAGGGCGGCGCACAATTGGCCCAGCGTCGTCCGGGTTTGGCCGGTGTAGGCCGTCATTGTAAATAAGAATTTGTTCTTAACTGAATTGCCTAGTTAAATAAAGGTAAAATAAAAATTAAATAAAATAGGTCGGGAGAGGTATAGAGATACTGAAAACTGAGAAAGGACAGAGAGGGGGAGGGAAAGAAGACAGAATGAGAGAAAGTAAAAGTAGAGAAAGTGGGAGGAAAGATTGAGACATTTACCATCTGATATCTGTCAGATAAACAAAACATCAAAAGATTCCACGGCTGGTCCCGGAGGAGCTGACACTTTTTGACCGCTTCTCCTTCCTTCATCCTTCATTCTTTACCTCCCCAACATAACAGTGCCTCTGAGCTTACAATGAGAGGAATGCCGACATCATTCAATCTGGCAGCTGCTCGCCTCCTTTTATGATACATCACAAAAATACACATTCCTCCATTGATTCAGGATGATTAGCTGTAAAGGCACATAGAGGTCACCAATCACCATGCTGCAATGCCTTTGCAATGCCTTTGTAATCAATCTGTCTAATCAGAAACATTGAGTTTTCACAATTTATTGATGAGCAACATGACATCATCCACTGCTTTCAAACTGTTTATTAATATCGCTGCCAAACAAGGTCATTTCAGTCCTGCTTGATTATTTGGAAGAAAGCGGTCATAGGCTAATATCAGTAGGTCTCAAGTTTATAATGAAACAATGTACTCCAACCCAATATAACAGTGTTTGCATGAATGAAATTGAGATTATCCTAATTTATTAGAAGTGAAGTTTGTTCTATCTGCTTAGTGCTGAGAAGAGAATATCTTTAACTAAATCTGACCAGAACGGTCGGGTTCCAGACACTGTCCAGACTCCATTGACTTTGGAACACAATCGGCCACCACATTCTTTGTCACCAAACGGAGGGTTCAATAATCGCTTCTCAGTGGCAATCATTTCTGTGCCCTTCTCAGCTCTGACAGTAGAGAGAGTTAAAGACGGACAACGTTGAAATTGCAGGTTCTCTTGCTATGTGTGGAATGGTGTTTAATGATTCACATGATCGCATGAGTGGTTGGCATTTTACTGGTGTAAAACAGTAGGCTACGACATGAATGCTTGCTCTGATTCTGAGTAACTCACAGGGGACCAAACTCTTGAAATGAGACGCACTGAAAAGCACAGATTTATCTGTCATATTGAATTGGTTTCATGAGGGCTGGGGACAGCCTATTCACAGAAGGAAATACCCCTCTCTTAGAGATAGAGATAAGGTACTTTCACAGAGCAAGAATGTAATTTCCGGAGTAATTTCCTCTCTTTACTTCACTGAATAACTATTGGTCTGTCTCAGTGCCAGAGCCTTGTTGGACATGATGCCAAGGAAAGATATGGAGACTGTTAGTTTTGGAGACTGTGAACATTCTGCAGAAATACAACTAATTCAAGATAGTAAACTAGGTCCTATTTCTCTTTTTAAGCTGCGTCCGGGAAACAACTCCTAAATTATGTATGATGCATTAGTGAGTTTTGTTTGCAAACACAAAATGTCATTATAGGATCTTTATAAATGCAGCCCCTCATTGAAAACCAATCTCCTCTGTCTAAGGTCCTTGATATTTCTCATCAAATTATTTCACAATATTAGATTAACTAAACCCTTATTTCTATGTGTACCATTTGTGAAAGCAATGTGCTAAATTATGTATAATCTGTAGCAGTATCATGTTATTTTATAATCAATTAATGCAGCTCTGTAGCACTGAAGCACAAATGGCCTAGATGAATGGAGTTAGTTGTGATAGATTTAAAATTATGCAAATAAATGCATATGTGACTTTACCCCATTCATCCAGACCTTATCTCGGTTACCCAGAAGTGAAATTATCCCTTGAAAGTTTGTCATGTCCTGTTTTACTTCTGGGGGGAATGCCATTAACAATTGTGATTACTTTCGTGCAAATGAAGGAAGTGAAGTCTCCTCCCTAGCAAACGGAAACTCTAGGCCAAACCTCTCCCTTCCACTAATTTCACCTGTGTTTATCATGACCCAAAAGAAAATATGTGTTTTCATGAATTTTTATGATATAGCCAATTTTGACTTTGTGTATGTGGAATCTACGCACACGGGCTTGAAAATCACTGCACCAGTTTATATAATCAATGACGAAAACCCAAAACCAGGAACTACTGCTGCTCGTAATCACATAATTTTACGTGAGCCTTGACAGATTCTCGCCGTTTCATCTGTCCACGAGAGATGAATGCAGCTGAAGCTTGTATATGATCATGCTACATAAAGTGGCTGTATGTATAGAAAACACTTGACCAATGAGCAGTTTGTAAGGGCTAGGCACTCTGTGGAACGATAATAATGATAATCTCCCTGAAATGTGTATGCTTGGAGACACTTTTGAAGACCCTCGTCCCCATACGTCTCCTCAAGTCTCTTCATATCAACTATGGCTTGCATACACACTTCTATACACACTGTTGATCATGTTTGTCTGATGATCTCTCCCTGAAGGCTACACACTGTCCCATTCACTCCACACAGATCTGTGTAAAAACTAGGGTTGCAAAATTCCTGGAACTTTCAATAAATTCCTTGGTTTTCCCGAAATCCCGACTGGAGGGTTCCCGGAATCGGGAGAGAATAAGCAGGAAATTGGGAATCCTCCAACCAGGATTTCTGGAAAAGCAGGGAATTTATTGAAAGTTCCAGGAATTTTGCAACCCTAGTAAAAACACTGGAATATTATTGCTACACTACAAGAAGAAAGCACAACAAGATATTTGCTTACAATGACGAACGTGGAAAACATTCCCCACTCCCTGTGGCTAAAGAACATCAGGGTCTTATGGTGTGTTAGCACAATCAATGACAAGCTCCCTTAAACATTGGTATATTGTACCCCACACCAATCCTGTGTGAGATACAACTAAGCAGTAAGCTTTTAGAGGAATAGGCAATAGAAAACAGAAATCACAAAAGATAAGTACAGTGAGGGAAAAAAGTATTTGATCCCCTGCTGATTTTGTACGTTTGCCCACTGACAAAGAAATGATCAGTCTATAACTTTAATGGTAGGTTTATTTGAACAGTGAGAGACAGAATTACAACAAACAAATACAGAAAAACGCATTTCAAAAATGTTATAAATTGATTTGCATTTTAATGAGGGAAATAAGTATTTGACCCATCTGCAAAACATGACTTAGTACTTGGTGGCAAAACCATTGTTGGCAATCACAGAGGTCAGACATTTCTTGTAGTTGGCCACCAGGTTTGCACACATCTCAGGAGGGTTTTGTCCCACTCCTCTTTGCAGATCTTCTCCAAGTCATTAAGGTTTCGGGCCTGACGTTTGGCAACTCGAACCTTCAGCTCCCTCCACAGATTTTCTATGGGATTAAGGTCTGGAGACTGGCTAGGCCACTCCAGGACCTTAATGTGCTTCTTCTTGAGCCACTCCTTTGTTGCCTTGGCCGTGTGTTTTGGGGCATTGTCATGCTGGAATACCCATCCACGACCCATTTTCAATGCCCTGGCTGAGGGAAGGAGGTTGTGACCCAAGATTTGACGGTACATGGTCCCATCCATCGTCCCTTTGATGCGGTGAAGTTGTCCTGTCCCCCAAAGCATAATGATTCCACCTCCATGTTTGACGGTGGGGATGGTGTTCTTGGGGTCATAGGCAGCATTCCTCCTCCTCCAAACACGGCGAGTTGAGTTGATGCCAAAGAGCTCCATTTTGGTCTCATCTGACCTCATCACTTTCACCCAGTTCTCCTCTGAATCATTCAGATGTTCATTGGCAAACGTCAGACGGGCATGTATATGTGCTTTCTTGAGCAGGGGGACCTTGCGGGCGCTGCAGGATTTCAGTCCTTCACGGCGTAGTGTGTTACCAATTGTTTTCTTGGTGACTATGGTCCCAGCTGCCTTGAGATCATTGACAAGATCCTCCTGTGTAGTTCTGCGCTGATTTTTCACCATTCTCATGATCATTGCAACTCCACAATGTGAGATTTTGCATGGAGCCCCAGGCCGAGGGAGATTGACAGTTATTTTGTGTTTCTTCTATTTGCGAATAATCACACCAACTGTTGTCACCTTCTCACCAAGCTGCTTGGCGATGGTCTTGTAGCCCATTCTAGCCTTGTGTAGGTCTACAATCTTGTCCCTGACATCCTTGGAGAGCTCTTTGGTCTTGGCCATGGTGGAGAGTTTGGAATCTGATTGATTGATTGCTTCTGTGGACAGGTGTCTTTTATACAGGTAACAAACTGAGATTAGGAGCACTCCCTTTAAGAGTGTGCTCCTAATCTCAGATCGTTACCTGTATAAAAGACACCTGGGAGCCAGAAATCTTTCTGATTGAGAGGGGGTCAAATACTTATTTCCCTCATTAAAATGCAAGTCAATTTATAAAAATTTTGACATGCGTTTTTCTGGATTTTTTTGTTGTTATCCTGTCTCTCACTGTTCAAATAAACCTACCATTAAAATTATAGACTGATAATTTCTTTGTAAGTGGGCAAACGTACAAAATCTGCAGGGGATCAAATACTTTTTCCCCTCACTGTACTTCAGATCCAAGTTAAAAGCTAATCCATTGTCTCTCAATGCCACATCTTCTATTACTGCCAAATGTGATATGGAGCAGCAACAATGAACATACCAGTAACAACTGACAGATTCCCTGCCACACAACTCTCACAGTTG